TATGGCATACAACTCATGAAAACCCAAAATGCCTGTCCCAAAAAATTATCATATCATGAAAAGGTTCTCTAAACAAGCTATTAACCTAACCATCTGAATCAACGACGTAACTCTAAACACCTGCAAAAAATTCCTGAGGCTTTTAAAAACTCCCAGCCTTGTTCATTACTCAAAACCGCAATCATGGGTAAGACTGCCGACCTGACTGCTGTCCAGAAGGCCATCATTGACACCCTTAAGCAAGAGGGTAAGACACAGAAAGAAATTGCTGAACGAATAGGCTGTTCCCAGAGTGCTGTATCAAGGCACCTCAGTGGGAAGTCTGTGGGAAGGGAAAACTGTGGCAGAAAACGCTGCACAACGAGAAGAGGTGACCGGACCCTGAGGAGGATTGTGGAGAAAGGCCGATTCCAGACCTTGGGGGACCTGCGGAAGCAGTGGACTGAGTCTGGAGTAGCAACATCTAGAGCCACCGTGCACAGGCGTGTGCAGGAAATGGGCTACAGGTGCCGCATTCCCCAGGTCAAGCCACTTTTGAACAAGAGACTGTGTCAGAAGCATCTCGCCTGGGACTGCTGCTGAGTGGTCCAAAGTTATGTTCTCTGATTACAGTAAATTTTGCATTTCCTTTGGAAATCAAGGTCCCAGAGTCTGGAGGAAGAGAGGAGACACAGAATTCACTTTGCTTGAGGTCCAGTGTCAAGTTTCCACAGTCACTGGGGTGTCATGTCAGCTGCTGGTGTTGGTCCACTGTGTTTTATCAAGCGCAGGGTCAATGCAGCTAGCTATCAGGAGATTTTGGAGCACTTCATGCTTCCATCTGCTGAAAAGCTTTATGGAGATGAAGATTTCATTTTTCAGCACGGCCTGGCACCTGCTCACAGTGCCAAAACCACTGGTAAATGGTTTACTGACCATGGTATTACTGTGCTCAATTGGCCTGCCAACTCTCCTGACCTGAACCCCATAGAGAACCTGTGGGATATTGTGAAGAGAACGTTGAGAGACGCAAGACCCAACACTCTGGATGAGCTTAAGGCCGCTATCGAAGCATCCTGGGCCTCCATAACACCTCAGCAGTGCCACAGGCTGATTGCCTCCATGCCACGCCGCATTGAAGCAGTCATTCATGCAAAAGGATTCCCGACCAAGTATTGAGTGCATAACTGAACATGATTATTTGAAGGTTGGTGTTTTTTGTATTAAAAGCACTTGTCTTTCATTGGTGGGATGAAATATGCTAATTTTTTGGGACAGGTATTTTGGGTTTTCATGAGCTGTATGCCATAATCATCAGTATTAAAACAATTAAAGACCTGAAATATTTCAGTTGGTGTGCAATGAATCTGAAATATATGAAAGTTTCATTTTTATCATTACATTATGGAAAATAATGACCTTTATCACAATATGCTAATTTTTTGAGAAGGACCTGTATTTATGATCAAAAACAATGATCATTTAACATTAACCTCAAAAGCAAAATAAAAGTAAACTAAAATAAAAATCCATAATGTCGCCTCCTAACAGAAACTATCTTACTGTGCATTATGTCTTAATAAGATACAAATTAGTTTAGGTCCAATATTAAGCTCCAAGTAGCTGAATCAACATGCAAAGTCATGCACTAGCTCTCTGCAGGTTTACTGTTACAAGTATACACAGGAAGTCTTGTAATTTGTGAATAATTATAGTGATATTGCTGAAAGAAAGGTGACTAAGTCGTGGTTCTTTATGGCTCTCTTGCTCACTCCCAGCTCATTAGATTGTGTCTGCTCTTCTTGGACCACAGTTTTATGAGCCAACTCTTGCTTATTACCATCTTGTTTATGGGATCATTTGACAAGTTTGAGAGTCAGTGTAGCAAAACTGAAAACCTCAGAAGCTTAAAGTTTGTTTGCTACTTAAAAACCCTACCAACCTTTTAGAGGGCTTCATCCATTTCATACAGACGCCCCCTCCCCCAAGCAGATCCTTTACATGCACCCCTACTTCACTTCTGCTTAGAATGTCTGTGTCAAACATGCTGCATCACAGTGAGTTAGAGGTATTGGTAATTGTTTTAACTACATCTTTTTCAGGGTGCAATGTTTTAATTATTGTGCACTAGGGGTTGAAAGAGTATATAATCTTTACACTCGACATTAACATAATAAAACGCGAGTAGAACTCGGGTATTTGATGACGTCATAGATCTCAAGATACAAAAATAAATAAATAAATAAAACCACAAAAAAAGGTAATTATTTACAAAAAAAAAGACCAACAAAACATTGGGAGCGAATATTATGCTCCTACCATTTATCATACTGCAAATAAGTCACAGGAAAAACTAAACTATTAGTTATTATTATTAAACTGCAAACGTGAAGAAACGTGCAGCACGTCAAAAACGAAACTTAACCGAATCTGGTTCGGTGGATTGGACCCGGTGTTACACCATACTCTGTGACCTGCAACAGTGCAACACCGCCCCCTACTGTCATACGGTGGTCACATAATATGACGTCACTACGGATACTCGATGAAACATTTTTAACCTCGATAGATGTCCTAGCAATCGATGTGTAGATTACTCGAGTACTCTGTTAATGCCCTATCGTGCACCTAATGAAAGGCGGACATACAGTATTGTTAAGGTATAATTTGTCACTTTGGAGTATAAGTGGCATTTATTTCGAAGTGTATTTCACAAAGTGCAAGAACAGACATTTAATCTGAAATAACAATGACACACAGAGCATAGCTGGGATCTTGAACAGGCTCATTTACCATAACAAGCCGACAACTCCGACAAGCAAGTTACTGGTAAATTCACCAATCTCATTCCACATCACTGAATCCATTGAATTCTGCATCCTCCATGTCGCTTCTGAACATCTCTGTTTAGCAGAACAAACAACAATTGGAACAACATGTAGTTTTCAAAAGCGTAGAGGGCCCTCGCAGATGCAAATGATAATGTTTACTCTTTGGTTCATGTCAGTATGAATGAACATTTAACACGTCAGTCAAAAACTGCTTCATGAATAGAGAAAGAATATATATATATATATATATATATATAAGTTGCTTCGGACTATACGTCACAGGACTGGCCAAACTATGAAAGAAAGTGTGACTTAAAGTCCAGAAAATACAATAAATAAAACTTATTACACATATGCATCATCATAAGACGGTGTTGCATACTTTTTTTCATCACCACAGCTTAAGGTCACAATCAAGGTCAAATGTTATACAAGGTCTTTGCTTGTCTGAACCATAACTGCTGATCAGCTCAAGGCAAGTTAACAAAACTTGGCACATATTTTGTACCACCAGTACACGGTGCGTTGCTTGTCCAGACCATCGCTGTATGATAGTTTGTCGTCGGGGGTATAATGCGTTGCATGCGGTACTCTGCCATATAATGTTCTAATCAACAAAGTCCATGCTCAGTAATCCAGGTATACAATCCAACAATTTTCAGTCAGGTCATCTGGACAGTTTCTTTTTTTTGTGTGTGTGCTGAAACGTTTCACCTTCCATCCAGAAGGCTTCATCAGTTCAGGAAACGCACAACAAAACTGATTCTTCCCCCAACAGCTTACTCCAAAGTGGAACAAACCAGTTATGTTGGTGCACGCCCCTCCTCCGGTGCCGGCCCTCTTCCTCGTCAACAGTCTTGTCAAACTGGTTCAAACCCAACAAAGTCCATGCTCAGTGCTGATGAAGCTGATGAAGATAATGTTCTAATCTTACTATGTCCTGTTGGTTACAGTGCAGTGAAAAGACAAAGAAGGGAGTCAGAGGAGAATGACTGGGTGTGTTATTGGAGGTGTACTTAGGATTTTGAGCGTCGTTTTACCGTATTCTTTATGGAGATTTATGGTACATCTGACCATTGCCTAAATTAAATTAAAAAATGTAAAGGCTTGGTCATTTATGTCACCTTCACCTCCCTTGTGGTCCTCTTGCTTTTATGCATGTGACGACAGGCAATGAAAGAGCCTCAAAGGGAGAGCGCAATTATTTCCCATCCAGCGGTACAAAGATTAAAACGTCCTGACATAAAACACACTTAGTGCACAAGGTGTGATGAAGGGTGCGTTTCTTCTCCTAATGAAACCATCTCGTCTGTGATCTCTGCGGCCCGTTCAGTTGTCAGAGAGCCATCTCCAGAGGATCCTGCGTCCCGTGGTGCTCTGATAACACGTATTTAGGCTTTGCACACCGTCCAAAAAGGCCCCGTTCAGTGCGGGCATTTGAAGCTGTAGTGTGTATTAGCTCATTACGGTGTGGAGGCTCTTTGTTTGGCACACTGTGTGTGTGCTTCAAATAAGAGAACAAAGCTTATTATCAGCTCAACAGCTCTGGTAACCTCTGTACTGATATAACGATGCAAGTTTACACAGATTTTACTCAGTAATAGTAAAGTATCAGTAGATGTTCAAAAGGTACTGCTTTGTTTTCCTATGGAGATTTAAATGTACATGTATACTTACTGTATACATACTATTAAAAGTGCCATTCTATCTTGTCAAGATATTCATTTAGATAGATAATTACATATGCATTTTATGAGACAGGTTTCAGTGTGAAATCAACAGACTAACAGTTGTAAAAGTACAACTCTGACTGTGTGCTAGCCAAGATGTGCAGCTGCATTAGTCTTGGATCACAGTGACCACACCCAAAAACTACAAACCTTTATCCATTATGATGGAACAGAAGAATTAAGGCTGGACAAGAGGAGGGAAGAGGGCAACATTATAGATTTCTGCTGCTAAATAGACAGGCTGTCATCAGTGCTGAGATGCTCAGTGGATTCCTACAAGTCCACCATCAGGCAACAAAGAAACGTATACTGAGTATTTGAACAAAAAGAACTTAACAAGAGGAAATAATTCATTCAGGTGTATTTTTGTGGGCAGGTGGTGGTACTCATGTCGACTCCAGCTCAGACTGTCGTGGCACTAATCCTTTACCCTGGTTTTCTCCCTCACTGTGTCTTTCAGGACTTGAAGAACGTTTGAGAAGCTCTTTAGCAGAGTCCAGTCCATCTGTGGCTTTTGTTCCCGTCCTGGACCTGCCCGACTCGCAGCTCTTCCACTTGTCCTGCTGGCTCAGTTTATAAAAGTTTAAAGATGTAAACCCGTTTTCAGCAGTTCAGCTCATTTTGTTCCCGGCTGCTCTCTTCTTCAGGGGTCACCACCTCGAATCAAGTTGCACAAAGACTTGGCGATTGTTTTTACGCCGGATGTCCTTCCTGACACAACCACAGACCACTGAGCTACCACAGCCTCTGTGTGGAGCAGAGAGCCGACATTTGGGGCACCCTGGGAGCAGATGTTGGGGCTTAAGGGCCTTGCTCAAGGGCACAGAGCGGGGCAAATGAGGGTGGAGGCAGTTGTGGGTGTTTCACCTTTCCCACCCACATTTTGATGTCAGTTCGAGGAGTTGAACCGGCGACCTTCAGATCTCTGTGCCACCACTCCCCCCCCATGTGTCTCTTTGCTTTCTCAAAGTTTACAGTTCGGAGGATGTGTTGAATCCACGTTGAACCCCAGACCAGTGATCCACCTTCTCCTCCAGCACAGTTTAACACCACAACAGCTGCTCCTTTACCTCGAAGATAAGTTTTATGGAACTTCTACAACCCAAAACTACCACAGGACTTTACCGGTACTTGTTTTACTGACTACTTTACAAAGCCGTGTTTTATTTCAGGAGATGATAAACTATAAATTGATATCTTACTGGTTCTGGTGGGATTTCTCGGACAGTCCTCGTAAAGGCCCAGCACCACCTGTGCCAGCATGTGCTCAGCTGTAAACCTGCATGTCTGCTGCGTGACTGGTTCAGGGCTGTGTGTAATGTGTTTGGATGAGGTGAGGGAGCTTCTCTCATGCTCCGTGGGGCACTAGGTGTTATTATTGTGTAATATGCAATCAGCAGCAAGCACCTGAAAAGATTAAGCCTCTTTATGTTTTCTATTGATTCTAAGGCAGCCTGGTTAATAGAAGAAGGACACAAGGCTTCAGGGCAAGTGAGTGCTTTGTTAAGGAGTGCACGTGCGTTGAGGATGTCGGTGGACGCAGCGTGACAATATTGGAAGAAAATAACACCATTAACCATCGCTCCTCGAACATTTGTTTTCTCAAAGATCATGAACCGTATTGATGATGTAAGTTTGAACGCTTCTTCACCCGGGCCATTCTCTTTGTGCCCGTGGAGCCCGGTGGGGTATTGATTTTCACCCAACACGATGTTCTGATTGCTGTCATCAAAAATTGAACAATAGAGGCAGCCGATAAAGCCTTAAGACTCGTATTGATCAACGAAAAATACAAACAAGCAATTATTTACGAGAGCAAGCATCTTATTCTGCATAAATATACAGCGTGTGTTAACGGTCAGCTGAAGTAAACAAGCTGCCACTGGAGGGAGGTTCTGGATTTTTGATTGACGCTGCTAATAAATCAGTTATTACATTTATTTTATTTACATGCGCTAACATCTGTAAATCTTATACATAGGTGTTTGATTGTATTTAAATGGTTGTACTAAATGTAGCTGTTAAGCAAATGGCAGTTCACACACATAACCAAATTACAAGATTTAGTTTTGCCATATTGTTTGTATTATTTTAATTATTATTTCTGTTTTATTTTAGTCTGAATGCCTTGTTGTAATAGTGAATTATGCTGAACAATGTTAAAGAAACAGCTGGATTTGTTTTTTTATACTTTTGCTTATTTTAAAATAACCAACAACAGTAACAAAAAAATCAAATATAATGGAGCTTAGTTTTAATTATGCATAAGGAAAGGTTATAATTTTCAATAAAATACAGAAATGCATGTATTTCTATTGAGTTGTTTTTGATTATGAAATATTTATTGTTACAGAGGAATTCACACGTTCATTTCTCAGAACACAGAAGCACAACCACTGGATTTTACTCCATGCTGACCACTTTTCCATCACACATAAACCAGTATATTCTCTCTTTCAGCAGGCGTGTTTTATGTACTCTGGCAAAGCCACAAGAATATCCTCACAACCTCATCATAACCAGTGTGATGGCCTGTGGCAGACATGTTTCTTTGTGTCCTCAACACTGTGCTGCCTCACTAAATGAATAAAGACAGGGTGACATTTATCTTTTTTTCGTTCATGCATTTTGTCAAATGTACATTTTCTACCAAGCTGACCTGCAACCACTCCACAAAGAAACAGGCTGTTGTGCCTAATGTTGTCCTTTGTGTGGAGTGTACCAGCCTGCAGCCCTTGTCATTGTGGCCTTGCACATGGACTTTAACTGTGCTTCTTCCTCCAGGCAAACCCTGCTGATGTATGTGACTCTTTTATTCCCACAGCAGTGGGTTTAAGCTGGTTCAGGTCTGGGCCCGTCGCGTGAGACGCCTCCTCACATCACGGTGCTTTTGCCTCAGTGACAACAGCTTCGCTTGTTTTTGTACTGGAATCTTTGTTTTGTTCCGTAATGTATTGTTTTCTTTCCCCAGACGAATTATGAAAGTATATTTTTATGACCCCAGCACTGAAACAAAACCGACCGACACATTCTGTTCAGTGGTGTCTGCTGCCCTCTGGTGGTCATTTCAAGCACTACAGCTTGAACAAGCAATAACTGGACCTGTTCACTGTTTCTTATTCATTCAACCTTTATTTATGCAGGTTAGTCTTATTGAGTCACGAGGACTCATTTACACGAGAGACCTGTTTTGGACAAAACCATCAATGAGGTACACGCAACAATCATCTGCTCACACAGACTCGTGCGTGCTGCTGTTCAGTGTATTATTTTTATACTACTAGTGCGTAGTGTGTTTATGCAAATGTTTTTCTTAGTTCTTATCTTAGATCTCATTACTGGTTTTATTTTACATTTTAATACTTTTGTTGGATGTAACTGAGACCCTGTATAAATAAAGAACATTGAATCCTTGAATAGGGCAGCACGGTGGTGCAACTGGTAGAGCTGCTGCCTCTCAGCAAACAGGTCCCTGGTTCAAACCCCGGTCCAGGGGACCTTTCTGGGTGGAGTTTGCATGTTCTCTCCGTGCATGCGTGGGTTTCCTCCGGGTACTCTGGTTTCCTCCCACAGACCAAAAACATGCATGTTAGACTGATTGGTAACTCTAAATTGTCCCTAGGTGTGAGTGAGTGAGTGAATGGTTGTTTGTCTCGTTTGTCTCTATGTGGCCCTGTGATGGACTTGCGACCCGTCCATGGGTGTACCCCGCCCCTCGCACAGTGATTGCTGGACATGGGCACCAGCGACCCCCGTGACCCAAAATGGAATAAATGGGTAAAGATAATGGATGGATGGATGGATGGATGAATCCTTGAATAAACAGATATAAAAAATGTAAAGGAAATAAAAGAAGTGATATAAAACAAAATTGAAAATGTGCTACATTATAATTAAATTAAATTCATATTATATAGCGCCATTTCACAACAAAGTTGTCTCAGGG